CTTTACCTTACAAATAAGTGGCACAGACATTTAACTCGGGTGACACTGAGGAAACACTGTGCTAGAAGAAAAGGAGACAGCAGCATTCCCCAACACATTTATACATTTCTGACATTCAGGTAGCCAGCCAGCAGCAGGAAGTCTGGTGTTCTGGTGCAACAGATGGCAGAAAGGAAGCCTGCACGCCCCCAAGTTACTAGGTAAAGTTAATATATGGGGTCTTATTACAGAAGTCCTACAAGAATATGAAGTTAAGCAGGCTCAAGCTGCATGCTCTGAGAGACAGCCCAATTCTCTGTCTTCACAAGGAGTTTCAAGCTGGCAGAGTGATGATTCTCAGAGAGACATGCCTTAGGTTATGACAGTTGTTACCACATCCGACCATCTGCCTTATTTCTGTCAGACACTGCCTCTAGTGGCAGGGAAAATTGATCTGCTTTTGAATCAGCATTTCAACTCCTGCAGTTAGGTCTGACAGGTTAAAGTCAGAAAGTCTGTTTCTACCATGATAAATAAAGATAAAATACATAATGGCACTGTCTTTCCGCAGTGTTGACTTCCTGAGGACACTGATGTGAGAAAAACCAAAGGAAGGTCCTGAACGTATGAACACATTTCAAGTAGCCAAAGAAACCCAAAACAACAGTTTTGCATTTGTTAGCCCAGTGGCAGACTTTCTCAAATTACCTGACTGCAATACTTTAATTATCTGTTCATTTCCTTGGTCACTGAACGATTTTCTTATAAAATTCAAACAAGCAAAAAACCCCCCAAAAACCCACAAGAGAGACTAATTCACAGATGGCAAATGCATGTGGGATGCAGGACAGCATGTATTCTTTGAGGGTACTTGCCTAGCTGCCTGGCCCAAACTGGAGGTTTCCCAACAGAGCACGTAACTCACAACCTGTTGTCAAAGTCAGCTTAGTGTAACTGTCAGTGTTCCTCCTGAAGTGGCACAAATCTCTTGCAGTAAGTAATAAACCACATTCCACTAATGCTTTCTCACTAAGCATGAAATGCCCCCTCTCCCCCTCCCTTCTCTGCATACCATTCTGCTCTTATTACAGTAGTGAATGCTCTTACTATGAAGGCTTCTGGGCACAATTTGAGCAGTCAGCACTAAACAGTCACAACACTGATGGCCTCTTTGCTGACCACTCAGCAAGTCTCTCAGATAATTCCTGTGCAGGACATGCCTGCCTGTGTATTTGATTCTTTGGAAGGAAGAGACAGAACCCTCCTGTCCCAATCTCCTTCCTTTTCTTTGAAAGAATAAGAGTTCCTGAATGGAGATAGAAATTTTCAAATAAGTTGTTCACAAATAGAAGGAAAAAAACAAAACAACTTGAATTGCACAGAGCTGGTATGAGGCTAGTTCAATAGCATCAAACTTGAGATTTTACTCCAGCTGTACTTGGGGAAGCTTGAAAATCAGAAATTGGCATTATACGATGAACAAAGTTTGGACAAGTGGAGTTCTCAAGCTAGCAAGAACTGAGCTGCTTCTGGAGCAGTGGGAGCTTCCTGGTAGAGGCAGTAGGCTACAGAAAGAACAAATCTAATCCCCAGCAGGTCTTTGAGAATATTAGAATGAACATGTTTTCCTAGGCACGGCTGTATTTTAGAGCCAAAAAGAGACTGCAGCCATGCATGTTTTTTCCCAAGCCTCTCTCACTACTGGGTATCAGCAAGGTGTATTTCAAAACATAACCTGCCAAAAGTGCTCAAAGTACTCGGTTTAGCTCTCCATGAAGTTTCTCTATCTCCATCTGACAAGCTAAACCCAGGCCTATCCCTGTTTTATTCTGTGATCTTATTACTGCCATATGGAAAGAATATCTTACCTCAGACAAGCTTGACAAATTTGAGTATTAAATGCAAGGGGGAACAGAGGGATTCAAAGAAAAGCAGGCCTATCTATAGCCTTTTTTGTAATGACCCCTGCTTTCTCTCTGAGAAAGCAATGAGTATTGAGAGGTCAGAGGTGAAACCTGCTCTGTAAAGGAATCATCGTACTGGAACACATGGAGCAAATGTTTGTCCACCAGAAGAACTGGCTGAACAGGAGCTAAGTGAACAATGTACATGCAGCAAGCCAAGAGAACAATAACAGTCACAAAAGCCAAGAACAGGCACAGATAAAAGCAAAGAACTAGCAGTGCCACGTGGAATGCTGACAGCATCAAGACCACACTGGATAAGTGCGTAGCACAAAGGCGAAGCACCAACTGTATGTTTTAATTCAATGTGGCTCTGAGCCTTCTTTGTCAAAACAAAAAGGCTGCAGGGATCACACAGCGTTGGCACCAATCAAGAACCAGGGAGCCAAGATGAGGATGTGATAGCTAGCAGTCCTTGTTCTCCATGCCATCACAAGTAATCCTGGTATCTGTGAGAAAATGAAATCAGTTTTGTTTAAAACAGAACACTTTTGCCTTCTTTGTTGTATGCTCATACAGTAAGTTTTGCTATGTTTATTGTGACAACAAAGTGGAAGGAAGAAAAAAAAATTACATTTTATAAACAATATCAGTATAATGCACAGAAGTTACTCAGATTCCATTAAGTTGCAAGGTAAGAGCCATCAAGTTTGCAAAAAAAAAAAAAAAAGGGTACTAACCTTTCAGGAAGAAATAACAGTAATTCACAACATAAAGGTAGTAAAGGCAGAAGAACTGTCTCAACCCAGGACAGAAGGCATTTAGATTTTGATCCCATTTACACAAGTGCACAACTTAGACCTTTGCACAAACATGCACATTGCAGGCTCAAGACAAATCATCCTTCACTGTGGTTCTGAACAGATAAGTAGATTGGAGCAGCTGTATATTCAATGAGTTGGTGTGATAAAAGACAGACTGTCAAAGCTGAAGCATGATTAGCATGATACAAAGCTTGCAAGGTAACCAAGTCACAAATTAAACAGTATTTAGATGACTAATTGCATGACAGCATATTTAATTATAGTCACTGAGTCCCATGTATTCTTTCCAGAGTTCTGACCTAAGTCACCAAAAGTTAAACTATCCAAAAGCCTGAGATGAAGAAAAAATATTGTGCTGATCCTTTTTCTAATCTCATCTTACTCTGTGATATACATACACTTCATCTGTGCACACCACCACTATTAAGAACAAGGGGATTGTAGTCCCTCACACAGGCAGCTTCATTCATTAACTCAGCTGAAAACAAGAATTATTGTATATCCTCATGGTATAGAACAGGCCCCAACAGTACACACTGTACGCCAAATTAATTGCAGCATGGGAGCTAGAAGGGAACAGTCTCTGAATGTATATTAATAGAGGCATTGCTATTTTTGAGCATCTGCTGTGGTAAACAAATGACTCAAAGCATGTAGGACGGTAGCCTCGGTCACAAAATATCCTCTCTTTAATCCAGCTCTTACAGAGCACAGTAAGGGCACCTGTGTACATGCAAATGCTGCCTATCTAACTCAGTAACTACTCTGCAACTTTTGCCAATAGGAGCTTAAAGGATTGCTACCCGTTCTACTGGAAAGGGTTTCCTTCAGGGAAGGGTATTCTCTAGGCACATGCAGCATTTGACAAGAAGGGAATGGCGTTATTCTCAAAGCAGAGCTGTCAGAATACTTAAAATTGTCACTGCCATGCAAACTCTACTTGTTATACAGTAGCAGTAGTTAGGATACTCACTGAAAAATACAGTATCTGTTTTAAGGGGGTGAAGGTTTCCAGGCTTTAAAGTCCAGTCAGAATGCTGCCCTAGATAAGTTCAATACACATAAGTTAACAGTATTCCTTACTTTCTCTTCCCTAGTCAGATTAACATATTTTTGTACATATGCCTGTGACAAGTAGGACTACAATTCTCTCAATCCCCCAGGCTGCATTTAGGATGGTGATGTTTGATTACAAAGACAGTGAAAAATGCTGTAACAAATCTTATTTGCTAAACATTTTCTCTGCACTGTCAATAGGAAAATTCAGTAGGAAATTCAAGTTTAATTTTCAACTGCCAACATCCAATACAGACCACAGTAGGGTACTGGGAGACTAGTAACTTATCACTTACAAGTCCAGCATACTTCATGTTGGTCAAGGTAGGGGTAAAAATAAAGTAACCCAGTGGGAAGAAGATGATTGCTCTTCCTCTACAAGTCCCAAAGCCTTCTACTAATACACTTGACACATACATTTGAAAACAGAATGCTGAAAGCAGGTGAGAAAATGACAATGGCTCACCAGGTATCCCTGAGATCCACTGCACAACAGGCATGCGGTTAAGCTGCAACAACAGCACCTACTGGTTTGCTTTTCTCCATTACAGAAGTTTGGTTACCCAGCAGCCACTCTGCAGCACAGCCATGCTGGAAATCAGGCAATAGAGCTGAGCCCAGTATCTGCACTATGAATTGTTCAACAGCCACAGGTTGACAGGAAGGCTGGTATAGTTTTCCCAGCTGAATCTCCCTCCATCGCTTATTGCAATCTTGAGGCTGTGAAGAGAACAGTATTCATATGCTCTCAGATAATTTCTTCTGGAAGACCAGAGTCTGCACCCCCCCCCCCAGCATTTCACATTCAATCTGTGCAACATATTGTTTTCAGTATAGTAGATGTGCCCCTGGAGAGTCTTAACTCATGACTGCTGAGAGACACAGGCAAACTCATTTGTTATTACACTGGCACATTAACTAGAACAAAAACCCCATCTTACCCTTCCCTTATAATGATACAGTTTTCCCAACAATTATATATGGCTGGCAGACAAGTCATATGCATATCTAAGCTCCAGGTGGAGCTCCAGAAGGCTATATTTGCAGTTTTCCTCCTTAGGGTGTGCATCTGTACAGGATAGCATGTGATTCAGCAAAAAGCTTCTGCAAAGTTAGTCTGTGTAAATCTGTAGCCAGCAAGCAGTTTTGACAGTTACTACCTCAATGCATGAGTCAAAGTAATGAGACAGCAAACCAGAGAAATGAATCTTCTTGTATTGCTAGAAAATACTTTTATTTAATGAAACCTTAGTTTCAGTAAGGAAATACTAAATTCACATTTTACATATAAAAATATTACAAAATAACGATCCAGTGACTGTTACAGCGTTTTTTCAAAGGTTGGGACTCAGGCCATTTTCACTCATTTTCATCCACCATCCACAGCAATCAAAAAATCAATTTTTTTGGTAATCCTGAAAAGTGTAAATCACATTGTTAAAGTAAAGGGGTTCAGCCCCCCTCCTCAAGGTTTTAGTATTAGTTTGATACTATTTTTGAGCTATATCTACTCTGAGCTTGTTAATGCTATTTGCTGCAGCACAGCAAGAAGCATAATCACTTTTCCCAATGAATCTGTGAAAGAGTGCTAGAATCAAAGCTCAAATGAATCAGTATGTGTACTCCAAATGAGTCCCAAATTCTAAAATTGTTAATTGCATTTGGGATACATGTAAGTATTTCTCACTGTTAGTATAAAAAGCTATCCAGTTAATATGACTTTAAAACCTAAGAAAGGCAAGCTATTCCCCAACACTGATGGGAAATATTTTTCTAATTATTTTTCTTACATGCTGTCAACTACCCAGCAATAACGTCTCTGCAGGAAGTAATACTTGCAGTCTCTGCCTCATTCTTTAACCATGTCTTTGTAAGTATCAGCTGTAGAGATAAGGGCAGAAGTACTTTCCTGATTTTATTCCAGATCTTGTCCTCTCATTTCTTCATATGGTACTTATTTATAATGTAGGTAGAATAAGTCATAGTTACCTTCTGCGATAGACATGAAGCTTACTATGAAAGGATCCAACTGTTTTTGCCTGCCTTATAGGCAGAAATCTTCTCTAAAATACACTGACATTGAATCATACCCACGAACTTTAAATTAATGTTCTCAAAATTACAAATTCTTAAGCTCAGATATGAACAGTATGGGTTTTTTTTTCCAAACTAATATAGAACAGTTCTCAAATTAAACTTATTCCCTA